ATTACATATTATTCACACAACAGCAATAAATCATTCATAATTCATAAAGTATCCTTCTGCTTCTGTACAGTCAGAAAGTCTGTCAGTTTCACACAGACAGCAGTCAGTGGTCAGGAGGATATAATTACACAGAAAACACAGCATCTGAGCTCTGGATTGACGGAAATCATGTCAGTTTAAGAAGTGTTTTCTCAGCGTCTCAACACTGCATCAACTTCTGATGAACACACTCATGTTTAATCACTCCGTGGGTTATTTAACCTTGTGTTACTGTGTCTTTGCAAGGCTTTTGTCTTTCAAACACATTCAAATGCTCAAATTCACATTGTTTGTTAATTACATGTAATGCAGGGATTCATAAACTTTCACGTAATATATTTACTTGAACTACCCCTGAGATTTTAAGGTAATAAATTAATAATTAAGTAACACATTTGCATGCTCGCGGTTCTGTGACGATCATACAACAAATTAAATGGTTAATTTTTTTTAGTAAGTGTTTTATTTTGCTATTTTAAAAATGGTTTCTGTCTCAAACAGACGGCGTGGATGCTCGTATCTGCAGCTCCTTCGGTTCATTAGTTATCAAGCGATATATTACAGGAACAGACGCAGATCCCATTCAGATCTTTTCCCTGCACTTTATATAGAAATGTACTTATGAGATTATCGGTTGTGTCAATATTTCTCCTGATGACTAATATTGTTGTTGTCATTATTTGATGATTAATATTATGATATTATTTTCTTTGCAGTAAATGAATGGTGATATAAGCTCGTCATGAAGCGTCATGTTCTTTCAGGCGTTTAGTTTTTATGTATTTGTCTACATAGAACTTTATCCTTTAAAAGACAAAAACCAATGTGGTGTAAATGTTGTTGTTGTTGTTTTGGATTAAATGTTTGTGAATGTAAGAACTGTTTCAGTTTGTGTTATCATCACGTTAGAGTAAATCCACAATTCAGTATTTTGGAAATATTTCACTATGTCTGAAATATTAAAAAAAAAAGGTTGACAATTACACCTGGTGTTTGTCGAAATGAATCTTTGAGTGTCTTTTCATCCTTGACTTCCTGTTGAATGATGATGCGTTTCCTGTCCGTTACTGATGGACAGACTGAATCCTGTCCTTAAAAAAAATACATTGTTGTAGAGACAAAGTCTGGTCAAATAAGACGACGACATTTACATTTCAAACAATCGGCCAAAGTGATCAGAAGAGTAAACACACTCAGTAATCAGGACTGTGATTGGTTGATTACAGACGTCACGTGACCGCAGCTGTTCCTGCACACCTTCAGTCATCAGACGTGAAGAACAAACTCAATATCCAGCCGCTCCAAATACACAGAAACGTGATGTTTCCTGACTGTATGAGCAAACTAGATTTGTTGGTT